CTAAGACTAGAAGACAGAAAGCCTTGACCAACATGATCAATTTTAATTCCTTCACCATTTCCCATTAAAAGAGTGTTGTTACCTTTGTATGACACACCTGAATTGAAGGGTACAAGATCATTTGATACGTGATGAGTGGCACCAGTGTCTGGATACCACAGAGCATTGGAGTGGTTTGGAGCACTGTGAGCTGCTGCCATACTAGGCACAGTGGATACAAAAGCTGTAGGTGCAGTATGAACAAATGACTCTTGTCCTTCTATTTTTGCAGGAAGAGTTCCACAGTCACCAGGGAAGGTATTCATTACCTGACTCGAGGAGTAAGGCAGTCCTGGACGAGTCAAAGCATAAGGCATACCAGGCATGAAGGTAGATGGATAGTAGAAGACAGGAGATTGCAGCGTGTGACTATACCCATGTCCATTCACAGGAACTATCTGTTCAACTGGTTTCTTCCACTGCTCAGCAGACTGATCTTCACTGCCAACTCCAGTGAAATCTCGATCAAAACGACGATAACACCGCTGAACAATGTGCCCAAACTTTCCACACAACTGACATTGTGGTCTATTTGAATTGTTAAACCTTCCTCTGCCTCGACCACGATAGCCTCCCTGCTGACTTCCCTGTTGACCTCCTGAATAAAACTGCTTTTCTGTTGCATCTGTTTCAGTGACAGCCTGAGACCTTGTCCCTTTCTCTTCTTTTGGCTGCACAACCATATTCGCAGTAATACCATCGCTTAAAAAAACTTTCTGCCTAGCCTCACAATCCAGGAGCATTTCAGTGAGACTATCCAGTGACACTACATCACGAGATGCTATAGCAATAATGGACTCAAATTCCATTGACAACCCAGCAAGAATCACACTTACTTGTTCTTGTTCAGGTACAACACAACCTACAGCATTCAACAAATCACATATTGTCTTGATCTTGGCTAAATAATCACTCACAGTCAAGCCAGCTTTCCTCTGAGAGTGCAAGCTGTGTCTGAGAGAAGAAATCTTGGCACTAGAACGAACTCCAAACAATCTTGAAACTGCATTCCAGATTGTGCGAGAGGATGTGAGCCCCGTAAGATGTGGCAAAACCTCCATGCTAACCGTTGTCAACAACCATGAGGCAAGCAACTTGTCTTGTTGCCTATGCACAAGATACACTGGATTTTCCTCAAGCTGCCCATACTCATTTGTAACAAACTGAGATGGAGCAGGATTATCACCAGAGATGTAAGCGATCAACCCATAGCCATCAATTATAAGGGTCACCTGATGCTTCCAAAGAAGGTATGTTGACTCGGTAAGCTTTATGACATCTTGTTTGGGTATATGTTGCACACTGGACGAGACTGAAGAGCCATATGACGTTGAGGTAACTGTGGTATTCACCGGAGACTGAACATCAGCTTGTTGCAAGTTCACCATTGTCAAAGAAGGGCAAGAACCTCCAAGAAAAGAGGCAAACAGAAACTGCAGGACCGTTTTGGCAACTGATACCATGTAAAGATTATAAACAAATGTCTAATCTATGAAAAACAAGAAAGAAAGTAAATGAGAGAAATGAATCTTCTGAAATTCATTATATCATGCGTGTGTATTACAACTCTCAAGGGGAGTATTTATAGCTAGTACTATAGCTATAACTGATGATGTAACTAACTCAACAAACTAACTACTTCAACTGATCAGCTGCAGTGAATCAATCCTCAGCTGCACAACCATCATGCACAGTTCACGTGAACTTATATACCATGCATTTACATACACTAACAAGGCTTGTATCGGAGAATGGATATAGAACATGTGATGAAAATGATTCAAACATTGAGACTGTCACAGAAAAATCCAAAGAGATACTATCACCGCAGACACCCTCTACACAAGAAGCTCGTAAGTTTTCTTGTACACATTTTTATTCATTTGCAAATCAGTTAAGGTTATACATTTGTGTATTATTCCATAACCTTGTTGTCTTTCTTTCGATAGTTTGTGGCGTATTTATTTCTTCTATAGTTGCTAATGATGGTGTTTGGTTTATTCTATATCTTTTTCAGTTAATGAATCCCTCAATCTCAACGAAGACTCGAATGTCAAATTTGTGAATGGAGGTTTGCTCTTTCTTTCAAAGTCTTCTGATATATTAAACTGAATGTATTTCGATCTTTAGAAATTTCTCCCTTGGCAGTGGCTGTTGTTAGAGGAAGAACACGCAGTCTGGTTGAAAGGTTTGAACGAAGAGATTTATTGAACAGCAGTGATGATTCAGTGACTGATGGTATATCTTTTGCTGCACCCGAAGCCAATAAAACATCATCCATAATGGTGAGCTTAAGTGTATCTTTTCTCAAAGTTTCAAATTCCGGTTTTTGCATGACGAGTAATATAGATTTTCATGTTCACGAGATTCCGCATTTTTGTGATTGAATTTAAATTTATTTCTTGTGCTTTAACCTGACAGAAAGGAGGGACAAAAATATCTAAAATGGAACCTATCTCGGCCAATGATAAAGTCTAATTTCTACAACGGAATCAGCTTCTGGTTCCGAGGGTGGCATTCCTAGAAGTCCAGTTCCGAGAAGGGAAACAACCCCTACTTCTGACCAAGTAATATAGATTTTCATGTTCACAAGATTCCGCATTTTTGTGATTGATTTAAATTTATTTCTAATGCTTTAAACTGACAGAAAGGAGGAACACAAATATCTAAAACGGAACCTATCTCGGCCAATGATATAAGTCCTGTTGAAAGTCTAATTTCTACAACGGAATCAGCTTCTAGCTCCGAGGGTGGCATTACTCGAAGTCCAATTCCTAGAAGGGAAACAACCCCTACTTCTGACAGGATAATTACTGGAGATCGAATTTCTAGAAGGGAATCAACTTTCACCTCAGATAGGATGAATGCTCGAAATCAAATTTCTCGAAAGGAAACAACCTTTGCATCTAATAGGATCGTTACTGTAAATCAAATTTCTAGAAGGGAATCAAATTCTGCATCTAGTGGCAGCATTATTGGAAATCTAATTTCTAGAAGGGAATCAACCTCGGCTTCTGATGGGATCATTACCAAAAACAAAATCACTCAAAGCGAGTCAACTTCCATTTCGGATGGGATTGTTTCAAGAAATCAACTTTCTAGAAATGATATGAGTAGACCAACTGGTTTAGTTACTGAAAATCAAATTTCTAGGGGGGGATTGAGTGCTGGTAATGACGGGAGTGTTACAATTATCGAAAGCCAAATTCCAAAGGGTGAATCGATCTCTGCTAATGATGGAAAGCTAGCCGAAAGTCTGATGCAAATGCATGATGTATTCTTAAGTACTCTTCGGTCACGCTTGACAAAGTTACAGGTAAGCTTCAGCATCAGTTCTTAGATGTAATTGGTGGATCGATAGTAGTCATTGCATGTTTTAGAACTTCTGTTTATTTATTTGCTTCTTACATATTAGTTTTCTTTTGTAATTGTTTTTGTGGTAACCGGTAGGTAGTGCGACACTTTTGGGAAAAGACTGACATTAAAGGTTCTATCGGTGCCCTGTGGAAACTGCCTGATCATTCTGTGAATATTTATGGGAACATTCCATGTGTGTTGCTTTATTCTGCTTTTAAGTAAATGAGGCTTGTCACCTGGATTCTCCCTAGCTTAGACTTGATGACTTCTGGTGCAGGTGCAAGCCAATGTGATTGGTGTTCCCATGGAAAAAATGGAGGTTATCACCTTAGAGCTCTTTTCCATCCTGCTTCCCGTGCTTATCGGCTTATTAGATAGCAAAATGGAAAGGTAATTTCAGAAAATTTGAAGTGTCGGTTGTTTCGAAAACTCAGCATGAAACTTGATTTAGGCATGCGTGTGTTATTTGGTTGTTTTTTTTTTCAAATTTAGACAATGGGCAGTTCTACTTGTGATGCTCAACTGCTCATACGGATTTCTGGTTTGCAATATGAATATACAGGCATGTAAATGTCTCATTGGAAATGCTTCTGAAGCTCGTAGCAGTTTTTGGTCCAATGATACGCTCAACTGTTTCAGCACCGCGTGGTGTCGGTGTTGATCTTCATGCCGAGCAGAGGTTCTGCCTTTCGGTTTCTTTAACTATTTTTATCTATTTAATGAAGCCACTATGAAGTATGGACTAATTGTCTTTCGAAATTCGAATGCAGGCGAGAATGATGCAATCAGTGTTCTATGCAGCTACAAATGATTCAAAAACTTCTTCCACCACTTGCAAGGTAATCCGCTCTTAAGAGTAATTGCAGGCCGATATCCCAACAGTAACTCGACATTCTTAACGACGGTTTACATAGCACGGTGCTTACATCCTTCGAAAGTCCGATAACAATCCTTAAATCAGTATCTTTTTCCTTTGTGGTCCCTACAGGTGAGGTGGCACGGTAGCGAGATGTGCACAGGAATTGAATCTAGTCCTTAAATCATCTGCGACCGAAACATTAAAAATGTGGTCGAGCCGAAATCACTTAGGCCGTTTCGTCATGGCCATGTCCGTATCGGGCCGTATATATCGAAGATGGATGAAGAAGGGACGTTAATCTCCTATGTTCGAGGATTTCCTGGTAAATTCCCTTGCCATTCTTTAATTCAATATGGTGACGTTCTTTAATTCAATATGGGGACGTTCGTTATCTTTCCTGTTAAAAATGCCTGTAAGCGTGTCTCAATGCAAATTTACTCTTGGGCTATAAAATTCAATGAAATGTCGGTTCCTTGAAATCACTTCTCATATAATAAAAATACATTGCAATATCTTAAATGTAAGAAATCAAAATCGAATCGAATATCCGAATTGATTATTTACAAAAGTGAAATGAATTCAGATAATATATACAGATATTCGAACAATGGATATCTGAGATCGATCTGAATCAATACAAATACTTATCCGAATCCGAACCTTATAAGAGAATTCAGGAGAAAAAAATTATTGAGTGGACATCATAACAAATATCCGAATCGCAATGTTCATGCCATTACCATCCCTATTTGTGCTTAAGCAAAGTTATGATCGTTGGCAGCAGCGGCAGGAGGATTACGATAATCAAGATAATGGCAGCAATGATGGCATAGCACGTCCATTTCCTTGAGCTTTTTTGTTGTTCCCTCGCCTCTTGAAGCTGCTCCGTCCCTGGTCTGACGAAGGAGCATGCATGTGAAACGTTGCTTTTGATATCGTTCAGTTGATGACCCTGAGCTTTGACGAGCGCAGCCATGTCCAGGAATATCTGATGAAGCTTGAGCAAATTCTTTTCGATCTCCTTAACGGCGTCGTGTCGTTCTTGAATCTCGGAAATGTTGACCCTGAGCTATAAAACCTTGGAAATCATCCATCATCGTCTTCAGTTTCCAGAGCTTCGAGCTTCCCTTTGATGGCTCACTCTTTTGAGAACCTGTTCGACATGGGTGTCCATTCGAGAACGTAGCTGTTTCATGATCTTGGCATTGTGTGCCGTTTTGCATTCCTCGTTGGCTTCTTATAATGCCTTGTAAAGCGTCTCCATGGTTTTCAGGTCTTCTTTAACATTTTCGACGTCCTCGAAGAATTTGTCGAGGTTAACGGTCTCAGTTATGGCTTCCTGGTTGTCCATGTACGCCTGTTGTTTTAGGTCCATGTATTTCCTGAACGAACTCGAAATTAAATCATTCATCTTGGCTCAAATTCTCAATGAATTACAGAGAAATTGAATGAAAAGAGATGATGTTGGTGGCAATGGACAAATCTAAAATTCTTATTTGTAATGATTAATTTTTGGTTGGGATTAGGGCTATCTTCATCTACATGGACTGCTAACTAACTAGTAGTAATTAGCAATGTAGGAGGAAGACAAGAGAAGAAAACTTTCATAAATCGAAGGGAAACAACACAAAGGGTTTTTTTTTTGTAAGAAAAAGAGATTTGAGAAATAGTTCATCTAAAAATAGGAAGGACCATTTACTTGGGGTTTGACATCCTCTCTTGTCGTTGACCTGGTCCTATCAATCAAAAGTGATGGGAAAATAGGCTATCTATAAATTCAGTGACGGTGTCCTTCCATCATATCAAAGTGATTAGATTTTTACGATAGGATTATGTGCTTGGAAATTGAATTACAAAAGGATTGTGAATTTTTTATGAAAATTAACAATATAAATATAAATTTTATAAGATACTTAAATAATAATTCAAATTTATTACGTGACTATGTCGTGATGGTTTTGACTAAATCATTATTATAACGGGATTAGCAAGTTGTATTTGATCATGTTTTCTAAAGAGATCAAGGTTTAGACCACCGATCCAATCGCCTGCGTATTTAACGGTAGATGGCAGACCACGGTGGCAGAGGATGAAAGAACGCTAAAGCTATTTATGAAGAAAGTGTGACTGCATCATCTCTTTTTTTCCCCCCCATCATGATCCACTAAGCTATTTATATAGACTGGTGAACATCTCCTAGCCAATCATAACAGGCTCTTACAATCAACCAGACCCAACAATATAACAAAACAATCCAGCAACAGTCGGCTACAATTCGACTATAATTGTGACCTTATACCCTATTCTTTTATATATATATATATATATATATATATATATATACAGCCATGAAGAAATGCTGATGAAGATGTATAACCTAATCCGTAACGCCCTCGACACAAATAGTGCATTGAGCTTAACCGGTTGCTGATGTGGGTGCAGATGTTTTGATAGAGACAACTGCTGAATGGTCCCCTTCAGTATCTCGATGACTGGCCCCAAGATTATTACTGTTACTGTTTTTTTTCTTCTTCTAAGCCGTTACCAGGGTGTATCTGAGTGAGTTCTGGATTACTATCGTCACTAAAGTTCAACATACTTTGCTGCCTATGGTATCTCTTGGTGGTATCTTGAAGCAATCTCATGTGTTGCCTGAATCCGAACCAGATGACAGCTCTTCTTCTCGCTCAGGTCGGATATTCAAGTCGATTTGGCCTTTAAAAGATGAATTTGAGGATTTTACTCTGTTAAGATCATCTTCTGAACCCTCAATGACAACCTTTTCCGGGCTTGAACGACTGGTATTCCCTGCATTAGTGTAGGGGAGAGGATCAGCATCTAATTCTTTATCTGGTAAATAAGGTTGCTTCAGTTTCTTGCATGTAGTTTCTGCAGCTTTTTTCAGACTTTCTTCTCACGGCGCTGCATGAGGGTGCGGAAGCCTCTCTTGATTGTTCGACAAACATTACAAGAACATGTCTGCTTGTGTTTGGGGCCCTTCCCACTCGGGGGCTGAATGCATACCAGGTCTATGCCGTGAGTGCTTTGTAGTGGCTTGAGATGAAGCAGGGAGAGCCTTGCCCTCTCCTGACAGCTAGGTTGGCAAGAGTGTCCAACCCATCTAAAGCATCTACATTTTGTGAATCCCGATTAGCAGCCTTCGTTTTCTTAGAAGCAGCTGTCAATCACAATCACAAAAACCAATTTGCCGGTCACACTAGGAAATGAATCGAAATAAAAGAATCTGAATTTTACACAAAAGTCATCAGTGAAGAATTCAAATTCATTCATACTTTCCAGGTAAGTCATACCAAAATGTAAGCAATATTTACCTGGATTACAGCGTGGCAACAGATCTTCCAGCTGTTCTGCGGTCAGTTCTTGAGCGGCTGAACATAAAGATCTGTCAACATGGAAAACGGAAACAATGTGCTCATGCAATGCTCATACAAAAACTAATTTTGTGTTTTTCATTTTTTTTTTACAGGGTCAGCATTAGCAAATGGAGAAAAAAATGCATGAATTAGTGCTGACCTTTCTGGATCCCACGAGTTACTGGAACAGGTCCATCTGTAAGGAAGAAGAGCAGTCGAAGGCAATCTGCGCCACTTAAAACAATCTTCACATTGAGCCCACTGAATAATTTCCCTGACAAGAAAGACCAACACATTGGGATTTGCATGGTTCAAGAATTATTGCTATCTATAAGACGAGATAACAAAGTAAAAGATGTTCGGACATCGCTTTCAATTTGACTTTACAAATTTTAATTAACCTCCCAAGAAACCTACAGTGAGTACAGCAGAATATTTCAATATCATGAAGGATTTGTAGAGATCTCAATAAATCCACAAAATGATCCAAATCACAGCCAAGTATTAAGCACTAAATTGATTGTTTTTCCTTGGCTTAATACAAAAAAATGTTTAAAATAATTCTTTTTCCCATTAGGTGCCTAAACTGTTTTTCGATCAATCCAAGTGTTTAACGTTATAAACGTTACCATCTTAAGTTCCTCAACCGTAACAGCCATTAAAATATTCCGTTAAATGACACGTGTCACATTTATATAATTTAAATTTTTTATTTAAAATGAGACTTTAAATTATATTTTTTCAAAAAATCCAAAATTTCCATAAATCTTTAAAAAAAACCTGAACTTTAACAACCCTAATTTCAATACTTAAACCTACACCAGCCGTCGCCTTTTGTCATCATTGTTGTCTGTTGAACCTCCAATTAACTGCACATCCACCCGACGACCAATTATCTGACGAACAATCACCAAATTAGGAGCTGACGAACCCTAAACCTCACGAAGAACAAAGCTACAAATCGTGACACAACGCAACCTCGACGTCCATCTCGACGATAAAGACGACAACGTTCGGCAAGAGAGATGGCAAGGATGACATCGGCGACGAGGGCCATGGTCGGCAAGGGAGATGGTAAAGTTAAGGTTAGGGGTTTTAGGGATTTTTAGGGATCTGGGTTTTTTTGTAATTTTAGAGAAATTAGGTTTTTAAAATATAAGAATATTTTTATTTAAAAATAAAAAATAAAAATTTAAAATTACCTAAATATGACACGTGCTATTTAACGGGCTTTTCTAACAATATTTAAGCCCGAGACACTTAAAATGGTAATGTTAGGCACCTGAATTAACTGAAAAAAAGTTTAGCACCTAAATGGAAAAAAGATATAATTTGAGATTTTTATATTAATCTTTTTTTTCTTTAACATAAGCGAGAGCATCCAAAAGAAAGTGATCTACCCCAAATTATCAGATGCAAATATTGTTGGCCTCCCAAGAATAGGATCATCCTGTAAAAAAGGAACATAACAAAATTAAGAAATTTTGGAGCAATTAAAAAAAAGATAGAATCCCCAAGAAAAGAATAAACTTTATTAAATGTAAAAGTAACAATTTATATCAGTAGGCAACAAAAAATAATGAACACTCTCATACTCTTAGCAAAATAAAACTGAACAGTCGGTGACAAAAATGGAATCAAATCTTTAAAAATAGATTAATCTGAGCCCGTGGCAGTATTCATGAATAAGAAACAACATAAAGGTTCCTGAGCAACCTATATGGGTCCATCAAGTGTGTATTGACTGTAAAAAAATCGCCACACAAGTAGAAGGCTTCCATTGCAACTACTTTCAACCAAGATGCTTCAATCACAACAGATAAAGAACAAACAAATTAAATAAATAGATGGCAGACCTCATATTCTTCAAACTCAACACCACCAATCACAACAACACTGAGCACATGATTAGGAGGGGGGCGCAGCAGCCCATGAGCTTCTTTCCATGTTATTTTCAGCTCTATGAGATCTTCATTATCGACTCTTTGGTGCTTACTTACTTTTTGAACCCAGACTGCTATTTTTCCTCTTTCTGGAAACTGCTGGTTTGGTTCCTGAAGGTTCCTTTGCTATGTGTCCTGACTTGCCAAATTTTGAAAATGAGGTTGGATCCGCCAGATCAGCCTGGTTGATTAACAAAAAGCTAGGTGAACATGAGCTATCTTTTAAAGAATTAATACTCAATAATATCACTAGTTTTAGGTTTTGTGACACTAAAATCTTCTCGCATGGAAACTCCATTACTATTTTTAGCTTCACTGTCCTGCCAACAAAAACACATGAATGTATGTAAATCTGACTTCAACGGTTATAATGTTTTACCATGATTGAAGCATAAATGCATCGTCATCAGATGAAATTAACAATAATGAGAACCAAATTACTTGTACAGCTAGTTCTATTGCATGTTATCTTAGATATGGAACATACAGGTGCACAATCAGAACTGTAAATAATTGTGCAAGACCAACCTGCTCAGATGTTGAGGTAGGTGCAGCCTTTCGGAAACCCATGATCAACTTCCCTCCAGCCTCTAACCGAGTAAATGTTACCGAGGAAACAACAGTTAGCAGTTTTGAAGTAAGAAATAGCCACCATATCAGTAAGTACATAAATCAAACAGGCAACGATGTAAAACACAATTGAAGGACAAAGAAAATGAATAGGGTCAGGATGATTTGAAGTTAGAGGGACGAGCTTATAAAATTTTAGGAGAAGACAAACTTATAAAATTTTAGGGAGCCAAAACATATTTTAAAAAAATACAAAGAAAATATCTAAAATAAATAGGAATTTGAAATTTGCAGGGAGGGTGCTCTCAGTCCATCCCTGAATAGGGTGATAGCAAATAGGAAACACGTATATTTCATAAAATTTGGGCCATCATTAACATGAAATCCAAGCGGCAATTAGTAATTAACAGAAACCATAAATTTTATAGAGAATAAAATCGAGGAGAAGCACAGATTGAGCTATAACTTGAACAAGGCAAACTTTGGGC